CGTTTCCATCAGAACTCATCCAAACAGACGCCCATCAACGCAGCGACCCGTTTCCATCAGAACTCATCCAAACAGACGCCCATCAACGCAGCGACCCGTTTTCATCAGAACTCATCCAAACAGACGCCCATCAACGCAGCGACCCGTTTCCATCACAACTCATCCAAACAGACGCCCATCAACGCAGCGACCCGTTTCCATCAGAACTCATCCAAACAGACGCCCATCAAGCAGCGACCCGTTTCCATCAGAACTCATCCAAACAGACGCCCATCAAGCAGCGACCCGTTTCCATCAGAACTCATCCAAACAGACGCCCATCAACGCAGCGACCCCTTTCCATCAGAACTCATCCAAACAGACGCCCATCAACGCAGCGACCCGTTTCCATCAGAACTCATCCAAACAGACGCCCATCAACGCAGCGACCCGTTTCCATCAGAACTCATCCAAACAGACGCCCATCAACGCAGCGACCCGTTTTTATCAGAACTCATCCAAACAGACGCCCATCAAGCAGCGACCCGTTTCCATCAGAACTCATCCAAACAGACGCCCATCAAGCAGCGACCCGTTTCCATCAGAACTCATCCAAACAGACGCCCATCAACGCAGCGACCCGTTTCCATCAGAACTCATCCAAACAGACGCCCATCAACGCAGCGACCCGTTTCCATCAGAACTCATCCAAACAGACGTCCATCAACGCAGCGACCCGTTTCCATCAGAACTCATCCAAACAGACGCCCATCAACGCAGCGACCCGTTTCCATCAGAACTCATCCAAACGGACGCCCATCAACGCAGCGACCTGTTTCCATCAGAACTCATCCAAACAGACGTCCATCAACGCAGCGACCCGTTTCCATCACAACTCATCCAAACAGACGCCCATCAACGCAGCGACCCGTTTCCATCAGAACTCATCCAAACAGACGCCCATCAAGCAGCGACCCGTTTCCATCAGAACTCATCCAAACAGACGTCCATCAACGCAGCGACCCGTTTCCATCACAACTCATCCAAACAGACGCCCATCAACGCAGCGACCCGTTTCCATCAGAACTCATCCAAACAGACGTCCATCAACGCAGCGACCCGTTTCCATCAGAACTCATCCAAACAGACGCCCATCAACGCAGCGACCCGTTTCCATCAGAACTCATCCAAACAGACGTCCATCAACGCAGCGACCCGTTTCCATCACAACTCATCCAAACAGACGTCCATCAACGCAGCGACCCGTTTCCATCAGAACTCATCCAAACAGACGTCCATCAACGCAGCGACCCGTTTCCATCAGAACTCATCCAAACAGACGCCCATCAACGCAGCGACCCGTTTTCATCAGAACTCATCCAAACAGACGCCCATCAACGCAGCGACCCGTTTCCATCACAACTCATCCAAACAGACGCCCATCAACGCAGCGACCCGTTTCCATCAGAACTCATCCAAACAGACGCCCATCAAGCAGCGACCCGTTTCCATCAGAACTCATCCAAACGGACGCCCATCAACGCAGCGACCCGTTTCCATCAGAACTCATCCAAACAGACGCCCATCAAGCAGCGACCCGTTTTTATCAGAACTCATCCAAACAGACGCCCATCAACGCAGCGACCCGTTTCCATCAGAACTCATCCAAACAGACGCCCATCAACGCAGCGACCCGTTTCCATCAGAACTCATCCAAACAGACGCCCATCAACGCAGCGACCCGTTTTCATCAGAACTCATCCAAACAGACGCCCATCAACGCAGCGACCCGTTTCCATCACAACTCATTCAAACAGACGCCCATCAACGCAGCGACCCGTTTCCATCAGAACTCATCCAAACGGACGCCCATCAAGCAGCGACCCGTTTCCATCAGAACTCATCCAAACGGACGCCCATCAACGCAGCGACCCGTTTCCATCAGAACTCATCCAAACAGACGCCCATCAAGCAGCGACCCGTTTTTATCAGAACTCATCCAAATAGACGCCCATCAACGCAGCGACCCGTTTCCATCAGAACTCATCCAAACAGACGTCCATCAACGCAGCGACCCGTTTCCATCACAACTCACCCAAACAGACGCCCATCAACGCAGCGACCCGTTTCCATCAGAACTCATCCAAACAGACGTCCATCAACGCAGCGACCCGTTTCCATCAGAACTCATCCAAACAGACGCCCATCAACGCAGCGACCCGTTTCCATCAGAACTCATCCAAACAGACGCCCATCAACATAAGACAATTAAATAATAAGTTAAGATAAGATAGACAATATGCACTCAAAATAAGACAAAGAAATAGTTTTTTCTTATTCTAAATGTGAATTAACTTGTTCCACTGGCAAGATGTCTCTCTTCCCTTCCAATCCAAGAATAAATGCACTTTGAAGAAAAAATTACATCTCTAGATTTCGATTTTTTCCCCAGATTATTAATCAATTGATTAAATTAAATTATTCAACAGATTATTCAATTTGCTAAATAATCATTAGTTGC